AAATTCATTTATTTTATGGATAGCTGGCTAAACGGGTTAGCAGCATCGCCCCGCAGCTAGAAGATCCCCGGTTCGGACGCCCGGGATCTGTCTGTGTGGAGTTTGCATGTTCTCCCCGTGCAGCGTGGGTTCTCTCCAGGTTCTTCCTCCCACAAGGTCCAAAAACATGTTGAGGTTAATTGGTGATTCTAAATTGTCCGTAGGTGTGAATGTGAGTGTGCTTGGTTGTCTGTCTCTAAGTGTAGCCCTGTGATAGACTGGTGACCTGTCCAGAGTGTATAAATAATGCATGGATGGATGAATAACTGGCTAAACAGCAACTATGCTATAATGATGGAGGAAACTCTCTTTTAGCCTTCTCTAACATCCCAGGTATGATGCCCAGTATTGTTGTAGACCATCTGAATATAGTGGACAGTGCTCATGTGGATGCAATGAAAAGTACAACATCATTACACATATCATCACAAGTAAGGCCCTGGGTTGTTAACACTGTGCACCAGCATGCTTTGGTTGCTATTCCTTCAATACATGAGGTGTAGATAGTCAAGGATTCTCATCTCAACCATCGGTGATCCAATTGCCCTGAAAAATAGCAGCATTCAGCATTTCTACTTCAGAAGGTATTTTTCTTCTCAGTAGAAACATATTATTAAAGCAACAAGGTTGTGACAGCTTTATTTACTGTTACGAGTATATGGGCGCCTGAGAAGTGGATTGAAGCTTCCCTTTTCACTGTAGTATTGATATACCACAAGGCTGCTGTGTAAATGAAAACATACAGACAGAAAAATGTACATCCTGTCCATAAGAATCTCTAGAACTTTCACATTGTCCATGTTACTGCCAATATCTCTGCCTGGAGAATAAAGAGAATTACACAGTGCAAAGAACCACCACTAATGTCCTGATTTACATGTCTGAGTGTTTATCGGATGGCTCACCAGTGGATCCTCGGTAACATTTTGGCGTTTCCTTGACTTTTCCTATAGCGCCACCATCAGGTCAGAAATTTAGTTTGACCCATACTTGAATGCCAGAATTTTTAGGTAATGTGTTGTGCTCTTCTTAGATATGTATAATAAAGGCTAGATGTCTTGTCCACGCTGCCGACCAATGGAATCGCACGGCCACACTGGCGGCCATCTTGGTTCAGTCTGCTCGCTCACCCATAACATTGTGTTGTTGTGGTGCATTTACTTTTTAAAAAACCATGCTACCGATTTTCGGTTTGGTTTGTTATAAACGTCAGAGGTGTAGTTATAACACTGCACATATGGATAATTATGCTACACTCTCACGGCCAGCAACAATTAGTATTTTAATTGCTTAGTATTTTATTTGTATTTTTGTCATTTGAATTGTAGCCACGTTAACAACGTTTGTAAGAAACCAAACTGTTTGTAAATCCGTCAAGATTTCAGTAAGAGTATTTACGTTTGTGCAGATCACTCACCGTCCTTCACGTACAACAGGTTCCGCCAGAGAGCTGCCCTGAATCAAGATGGCCGACGGGTGATCCCATTCGAAACGCCACCTTAAGACATCTAGCCTTTATTATACATATCTATGGTGCTCTTATCATGGTGCTGCCAGTGGCCATCTAGTCCACCGTTATGATCCACACTGGAATGATTTGAACTATTGGCTGATTGCGGATACAAGCGAGCAAAATGAGCTTCATCCACGGGGGGGCTGGGCTCGGCTTTAGAGTCAGGTCGAGGAACTTGAGCGTCAGGAGGGAGCTCAGAGTAAAGCTGCTAATTCGTTGCATTGAAAGCAGCCGGGCATCTAATTAGGATGCGTTCTGGGTGCCTTGGAGCTTTTCCAGGCACGTCCAACTGGGAGGAGACGTTGGGGTAGACCCAGATATCGCTTGCCTGCGAACACCTTCAACCCCCCACGAGGAACTGTAAAGTGTTCTTCAGGAGAGAGAGATACACCCCCAATGTTTTACGCTGCTTGAAACCTCACATAGATGCGAGGCCTCAGCCATGAGCCAAGGCTGCTCGTTTTTTGAAGCGCCCAGATCTAAGCGCAGATAAATAATTTAAAAGCACTGACTGTTTATTTGAATCTTGAGTAAGTTTACTAGAACGCCCTCAGCGACTTTAAAGTTTTATTCTGGTATTGGTGAGTCCAGTTTTATCAACACGAGTCAAAACAGTTTGTCTGCTGACATCACTGGATTCCCCTTCATCCCTCCACTGGCTTGTGTTTCACTTTAGTGCTCTCTCATCTCAGACCAGAGCACCGCCGCTTCAGTTCGGTGTTTTTACAATCTATCTAAACCTGTGTAACCTTTGTTCCGATACCTGCGTGTGTCCGCATTTGTCCACTTGAAGCACGAATGTTTCGCCAGACAATGAGGCTGTTATTTTAGTTTTTCTTTCCAACTGTGGCAGTCCTCAGAGTCCTCAGCTGCCACAGGCCTCCATCAACTTGTCCACTGTGTCTCACGCACTCCCACGCGTATACACAGTCTGTTCTGAGGACAAACTTTGGCATAAAGAGTTGCAGACAGTTAGATCTCCATGGTAACTGGTCGCAGTGTTGTTGTTTTTTTTTGATGTGTGTGTTCCATGTTCCCGAAGCTGCAGCGGCTCCTGGAGACGTGTGTGCAGTCGTGATGAGAGCAGTGGCTTGAGGATGTGGTATAGCTTTCAGACAGCTGCACAGGGAGGGAAAAAAAACACCAGGGACCATCAGGGTAATAAAGCCAGAGATTGAGGCGGCTACATGGAGCGGCGGGAAGTAGTCATGAGAAGAGTGGCGTGGAAAGAAAAGCCTTGAAATTGCCTCCCTGCAATGTCCGGATCGATGTAGTAAAGATTCATTTAGAACGAAATCAAAACCACATGTGACGATTGATGTTTGACGACTGGAATAGAAGCATGTTGTCGTAAGGTGTCCCGATGTGACAATGTTTGACGGACATCTAGGCGCTACAACTAATGCTCTTGCGGCCATCGTTTATAAAAAGGTGATGTGTCTATGTGAGATAGTTCTTTTACTAAGTGTTCACTGTAAAAGTTGGTCCGTTTAGAGTAAGTCACATTGGTACCGGTATCTCTGGGACCCAGAGGATGAATACTTCCGACTCAGTCAAAGTCAGTCCATTAAGTGTCGTCCCTGCAGGTTGTGCTCTAATTTAGGAAACGAGTGATTGGAGATGCTTTGAATTACGGGACAGCCTCATACCACCTCTACATCTATCCATACATTCAACCCCGAGGAAGCAACTTCTATTTTAATAAGACAAATGTTTCACGTTTGATAACTTCTTCTTTTATAATGACCAATTTAAAGACAGGAAAACGCATTTAATCTTGAAAGTACCACCACAGACCTGCATCACAGTGGTCTCGCGGTCTAAGGCGCTTACCACATAACCGCAACGAATCCGGCTCGATGCTTTTGTTGCATGTCATCCTCCCTCTCCTTAATTTCCTGTCTGCATCCGCTTGGTGTCACATTATCAAAAATTAACCCCCACAAAAAAAAAAAAGAAAGACAAAAGAAAGGGCATTGGCACTAAGGTTATCTGAGCTACCTAAAACTGTATTATAGCACTCACTCCCCCACTTCAAATATAAAAAAAATACTGCATTCTTGTCTTTCTGTTATATTTCTTATCGTGCTCTCCTCTTACTTTGTAGCTGGCAGTAGCAGCGAGCACCACAGATCTGCATATTGGTCTAAAGTGCAGAAACACTTGATTTTATAGAGAAAAGGGTAAAGAAAGAACTTTTAAGAAGTGCTGTTGCAATGAACACTAAAGGCTGAAACCACTGGTATTAACTGAGAGTTAATAGTATAATAAAGTGACTACACATAGAATTTTCTAACTCAAACAAGGGGATTTATTGTTGCTTTAGTTCTGTAATAAGGCACATTTTAAATGAATCTGAATCAAGATCGCTGTTATGTAACGTAACTTACGTCACACAAACTCTTCCGAAGTTAAATTTCTCCGAGCGATGTTCGAGCTCCGCCTGTCTTCCAATGTTGGTGCATTTTTTTGTACGTTTTGCAAAAGAACACCGTCGAAACAGCAAGTCATCGTCGCCGTCTCTCCTAGGAAACTTCTCATACTGCGTTTAGCCTCGGTTAAGCATTGTGCAGTCAGCTAGCAAATGCCATTAGTTCAGGTATCCTCTCCTCTCAGCCATTAGAGATTTGCGACTGTTCACACAAAAGTGAACAGCCGAGTTCACCTCAGCTGGTTGTGTGAGAGGATGCACACTAATTAGTTTATCAAATAAGATTTACTGATTTTATTTTGCAACTTCTGCAGCACTATAAAGACTTTTCTGTTTTCAAACGGTAATCAATTTGTAAAGTCATATTATACAGATTTATTTCCATGTTAATTTGCTCCAAATCCCACTTGTTGGGTTCGGAGTTGTCTCATCAGTAAAAGTGTCCGTATGGGAAATCACGTCGTGCAGTATTAAATCTTTCTCTGTTAATCTTCTCTCATTCATTCTTTGTGACTTCTGGTCTTGGGTTTCTTATTAAATTACTTTTCTCAGTATTTTCCCTTTGCCCTCCGTTTTATAAGCCTTTTGAAGATACTTGTCAAATAAAAAGATCTGTGTCTCTGACACACATTGGCACAGGACATTTCTCAGACGTCTCAATATCTTCCCAGTATGTCATGGGACTCTGCTCCTCACTACCTTCCACCCTCCGTGCAATGCTTTAATTACTTTATTCCTCGTTTCCCTCATCCCTTTCTCCTTCACTCCATCGCCCCGAGCTGCTCCTCATTCCCTTTAATTAATCCACACAGATTTAGACACCTTCACCCTGCTGTGAATGTGTACACACACACACACACACACACACACACACACACACACACACACACACACTTGACAATTCCCAGTAGACAATAACAACTTTAAGTGATCTTGCTTCACTTTGAAAGTTTTTTCTCTGTAAATGAACGTAGTAGGAAACCGGGCTCTGACACTGTGTGTTGTCTTTTGATTCAGGGCTCCAATGGAAGCATGCAGCTCATGGAGACGGAGTTCTCTAAAACTCTGGGAGAGATGGTGGCTCTTCATCTGCATCACCAGAAGAGCATCCCAGCGTTTCTCTCCGCAGTGACCCTCGACCTCTTCAGCCGACAAACCACCATCTGACCACATTTAACAGCATCTCAGACACAGGTGTAAAAATTTAACATGAGACTAGTTTTGTTTGTAAATTTCCCTCCCCGTCTGCTTCTTCTTTGGTTTTTTGTTTTTTTTTCTCCTCCTGTCTCATGAAATATTCACAAAGTGTTCAAAATGTCCCGGTATTTCTCAACAGCTCTTACATATGAATAGTGCAGTGAGTGCTGTGTTGTGGTGGGTGATGGAATACTTCCATCTTTCATTCAAAAGGCTAAGAAAGGATCTTGGTACCCCTATTTGTACGCTGAATATTTCATCAATGGAACCTTAAGGAAAACATTTCTTCTTAACAGAACAAAGTCGTCATGAAAATGACACACAAAAGCCACTTATATTTGCATTGGGAGCATGTTTCTTACTGTTGAGCTGTGTGCAGCAAAAGAAACGTTTGTGTTGTTTTATTCTGCCTTTTGCGTCCTCTCTCTGGGGGCCTCGTGTAAAAGGTTTCATACAGATGCGTTGTGGTTGCAACTAGTGCAAGCAATTTCAAACGCTGCGTTAAAAAGATCATTTAGAATACATTATCAGTTGATTCTTCTTTTTTTTTCTCCCCCATCCGGATCCTAGTTTACATCAAAATCTCAAGTTTTTAAGTTCGTTCTGCCATAGATAAGATGTTCAGATTTTTCTTTTTAGTTAGTTAATTAGGTAAATTATCTTATAAATGATTATGTCCTTAAGCTGAAGATGAACTCAAGTTTCCTGCACTTACCTCTTTTTTGCCCTTTACATTAGAGGAACCAATAAAGGAGAAAGTGAAAAATTTCCACTGCTGTGTGAATATGAAAAAGTAATATTTGAACTAACCTGCTCAAATTCAAAGTTCACAGTGTATCAGCATAGCAGGCAGCGTCATTTACTCAACCAGGGAGCATTTGTGTTACCTGGACCACACATATGCTGTGTTGTACCCAGGAGACCCGTCAGTTCTTTTCATTATCTCTAAATGGAAAAACCCCATTGTTAATCATGACATCAAACCAGACATGTTAATAATTGAATGTCAGTTTATTATTTGCCCTAATAGTCGATCAAAGACATATTAACCATTAAGGTGAAGACGGGGACATGCATTTGAGAAAATGTGTTGTAGATTTGCTGTAGTACCTGGTTGTGCCACCAGGTGGAGCCTCTTACTGTTGGATGAGATGGAGTTACAGGCGTGTTGGCTGACCGCCTGTCAGGGCTTCAGAAAATGAGTGTAACCACGGAAAACCAGTGGAAGACTGCAGCTCGTATATTTAACGCTTTGGATTTTAAGCCAGTCCTTGAATGGCCATTTTAAGTGGCGTCATAATATTTTGGACTTCGGTAACCTTTATCTGATTTAAACGAGCAGATTTTGCAGCAGTAGGTGTCAGTGGTAAAAAAAAACTTTATCATCGTCCAGGAGAGTCAGATGTGTTTTGTCCATTTAAACACTTGTCTGATTATTGATTATTAACTTGACAGGCTATAGGTTTGACTGTAGGTTAATGAGATTGACAACAATGTGAGAAGTAAATGTGTGGAGTCATTGATGGAGAAACCATGGACAGGCCTTTTGAAGAGGTGAAAGCGCTTTACAGCGACTTTATCACGAAGCAAACGAGTCACCTGTCACTCAGCTAGTGTGAGAATGAAAGGAGCCGTGTCAATTTTACGGCATTATACTAGTTTTTCTCTTTCTGCAGACACTGGAGTGTCATGAAGGTGGCTCACGACTAAGAGAAGACACATGCGAAACAGCAGAGAAGCTTTCATGTTTGACATTTCGACATTTGTTGAAACTGAAAAGGCCTTTACTGTGGGAGCATTTTAGATTCTGATGAACGATGAATTATTCCTCTTGTGAATTTAGCTAATGTTGTGTCTTTGCGTGAACACAAGGCGAGGGAAGTTTCTCGGCGGCAATAATGCGAATAGGCAGAAATAAACATGGGGTGAAGAGGGACGCATGGGAGCGATCCAGTGATGCTGAGAAACAAAAGGAAGTGAGCTGAGAATAAAGCCACATATCACAGCAACAATAGGAGAAGTCCAGCTGGTGCTGCCATATGTCTCCTGAGAAAACACATTCTCCTGTACCGTACACGCCACATACTGTCCTTGTTTTTTTTCACACGCTGTTACATACGCAGCACATCCTCCATCGCACCCCACAGCTCTCGACTGGAGGTCATATTTTAGAGGCTTTCACATAAGCTGTGCAGCACATATTGTACAGATCACATCCTCCTTCAGTGTGCTGTGCTGGAGCTTTATCATTGTTTCCCATTTAACTGCTGTACCTGTTTCCTGTTTTGAATTCGAAATGCAAATGGTGATCAATAAAACATGCTGATTTGAGTCGAGTGACTGTACGTTTTGTTGCACCATCCAACTGTAGTGACTCATCTCTTGTTCCTCCCACCGCAGCAGCTCATCCAGAGGTGATTAAGACACATGTAGTGATTCGATAAGTTGATAGCTTTCACCGCCTTGTTGCATGCGTCCCTGGGTGCTGTGCTGTAATCCTGAACGCAATTCAAAGACCTCTGTGGGGCCGGTGTTCACGCATGTGCAGCGACACCAGCTCTAGAGAAACTGGGGGACACCTGGAAGGAAACCTATCACTTAAATGACCGGTGGGCAGGTGTCTACCCGTGGGCCTAATTTGCCTTTAGACCACATCCAGGCTGGAACCTTGTCTACACAGAAGGTGTGAGTGCGAGCAGCGTGTTAGCGGAGCAGCAACAGCAGCTCCGGTGCACCTTTCCGGAGCGTTAAAATCCTCCCTGGTGTTATTATGAACCACTCTGCAGCGTTTTGTGTCTAATTAGCCTTCACACTAATGGATGTGTTACCCAAACTGGACTTCCTGAATCACATTCATTTTGTCACAGGCTCCTTTTGGTCTGACGTGTACCGTTGCAGGCTTCATTAAAGTGACTGCATTCAGACATCGGACACTTCTACAGCTTCATTTAGACGTACCCACCATGACAGTGATGGAGAGAACTACAGAACATGAGATATTTGTCATACACGTGATCTACAGTATGTAGTAATGCACTAATGAACCAAAGATAAAATCTAAATTAACAGCAAGCTTATTTAACTGTCCCAATGCCTAATAACCTAATTTATTTAGGATTTCCTAAACACTGAAGATTCTGTGTGATATTATTCTAACTATTATGGTACCATATCCCTACAGCTGTGATAAAGCTCTGGACTCAGCCAACAAATGGTTTGACCCTCCTGTTAGTTTTGGGGTCAGTTTGACCCCATACAGTGTTTATTATCTCTAAATAAGTCACAGACATAATGTTTTCAGTTTTATTTAAAAGACTATTTACACATAAACTTTGGGTAACAATTTCCATTATGATATTTTCTGGAAGTTTAGATTGCTGGGGTCAAATTGAATCAGAGGATAAAAGATGTCAGTAGATTTTAAGGTAATAGGAGGGTTAACTGTAGCTCATAACCTGTGACTGTGTGACAGCTCACCTGTCTGAAGTTAAAAAAAAAAGATTTTTAAAGTACAGTAGTGACTCGATAATCCGACCCTTAACAATCCGAACACCTTGCTATCTGACAGGTTTTTAGGAAAAACGAACAAACCATGAAAAATAGCCTTAACATACCGACAGTCTTGGATTATCTGACTGAACAATCCGACAGATTGGCTACGTACAGACTGCAGGACTTAATGCTCAATTTGGACTTTTTGCGAGTTCATTTACATTTCCAATTAAATGCGACTTCTATGTGAAATATTAACAACAGATGACCCTTCAAGCATCAAGCCCTCCTTGTATCTCAACCTCCATCTTGACAATCCAACAGCCTTGATGTCCAACATAAAAGAAGGTTTTACATTTAGTGACGGATTATCGAGTCACGACTGTATATGTCATTTACTATTAGAGCCTGATCAATCCTGTCTCTACGTCAGGGATCATTTATAAGTAATTTTGTTCCTTGTGTGTAATTCTTTGCAATTCTCTTCACGCTCATATGGATCCTGCTGTTCTCTGATGGTGCAGTTACTTGATAAACTCAGAGGAAAGACTCCTACAAACAGCTGGAAGCATCAATCTGAACATTAGCTCTTGTAAATGCTTTTAAAACCTTGACTACATTTATTCCTGGGGCGTCTCTTTAATCTGACCTGTTCTGTCTTCACAGCGGTGAAGGTTTCTTTTTTGTTGTAATAGATGGGACATTTTAGAGCAAAGTGCAGGAGACAGGCTTTCAGGATTTTCAGTCTAACTTTTGATCTCTGACGTGTTTGGATCAGTATTGGTGCTGAAATGTGGGGGAAAAGCCACTTTGCACGTTTGTCGCTTCTGGGCGTAGCAGGTGCTAAACCTACACCTCACTCTTCTTTTTCTAGACTTGCCTGTGATGAAAGTTGCTGATGGTGGCCACAAGATAGTTGCCAGACCAGATCTCCACAGCACTGATGAGTGGTCTGACTCCACCTCATTATCACATTTGCACACAGGGAGGCGAGCACTGTCCTTACAATGGATAATTCACCTAAAGCATATCACTGTATAACTGTGTTTGTGACCAATAAAGGCCTTGAATCCTTAAAGAACGGAGCAGGTCTTATTGCACAATCCAATACTGATTCAAAACTTACCATTTTAAGTGTGAGCTCGTTGTCTCCCACAGCAAAGGAGATTTTTGACAATGGTAGCACACAGATTGGAGAAGAAAGCTACATGAAATGTGTGGTGGAAATGACAGGCCCATAACCAGAGTTTACATCTGGTGGCTCAGATGAGTAGCACAGGACTGGATACTAGTCCTGAAGAATCAGTCAAGCCAAAGAACAGCACTTGTTGAGTAGGCAAAACATAAAGAGGTCAGGAAAGCGCAACAAGACGAGTTAGTGGAGGTAATGAAATGAGACTGACAAATTGTACGTTTTCAATTTCCAGCAGAGAATTGCTGACCACTTTAAGAGATTTTGTTGGATGAAAGAAGAAAGACATTTTTTATTCCTCTGACTAAGCGTGAGCCGTGGCCGAGGCGTGTTTTAAGCGCCGTTTGTCTGTCTGTCAGCAAGATTCCATGAAAACTGGATTTCACGAAACTCGGCCGGAAAGCGGAACGTGGCTGAAATATAAAACCGTCGAATTTTAGTGCAGATCACTTTCTTTAAAATCGTGAACTGGGGCGTTGCACTCTGAGCGCCCTTCTTGTTTTAATTCTCGTGTCCCAGCGAGGCCACCGGGACTCCGCAGAGTGTTGCATTGTGCTCACACAGTGGCCACTGGCTACGGGCTAAAAGAGCAGCTGTGTTTAAATTATCCTTCATTTTTTAAACTTTTTTTTTTTTGCTTTTCATCAATTCAATTCCTGGTTGGCTCCGTTTCACCAGCGAGGATTAAATGACGCACGAGTAATAAAATAAAAGGCAAAAGAAGCACTTTTTTTTTTCCCGTACGTGATGAAGATGAAGTGCTATTTCCACATCATTAGTGGAATGTTACAATCTCGAAATATGTGGACGGATGAGAGGAAAAGAAGCAAAGCAGCAATCCCCTTGAAATGCCTCCGTGGCTGTAATTTTATGCTGTTTGAGTTCTGCCTTCCGAGGAAAAATAGTAAGACCTTCCCCATTCAGTTTCTTTCTTTTTTTTTTCTTTTTTTTTTGGGGCATTTGTCTTTGACTACCTTTTAAACAGCTATTTTCTCCCTGTGCCCCTCGTACTCTCTGCTCTTCCTGCTTCTTTGTGCTCTCTTATTCATTCCTTTATCTTTATTTCATCAGCCTATCATCTCTGAGTCGAAAACAATTAGCACACCCCCTGATATGTCATTAAGTATAAATGAGGTGGTACAGTGAGGATGAAAATGCCAAAGCTGAGCTTTTTAACTCCGCAGCATACATCCGATTTCACACAAACAGCCCCAGTCATCATGAAGCGGTAAACAATCCATTTTGAAAGGCATATTTTAAAAAAACATATAAGCAGCAGATCTCATTTCAAGGCAGCACTAAATCTTTAAACGCAATTCTTGTGCATGATTAATTTATTAAAAAGTATAGGAGAGGCATTTCAACTTCATCTTGGAGCTGTTTTATTTTTTTCACTGCAGAAATATTGATAAGTGAGACCCGCTGAGAGGAGACATCCCCACTACAGAGGAGAGTCTCAGCTGGAAACCAGAGAGGCTTATGGGACAGCGAGAGAGGAGAGAGAAGGGGACCTGTCACTTCTTTCATCTCATCCTCCTTTTCTTCCTGTCTATACCTTCCTCGCTAAACTCTCCGTCTGCCAGTCTCCACTCACGCAGGATGCTGCGTATCGCTTTCTCTGAAGTGAGTCTTTCTCCCGTGTCTTCCTCCAGTCTCCCACTCTCTACCCTCTGTCGAGTCCCAACAGAGAGAGATGGAGCAGCTGTCATGCTTTGGTTCGGATCTGAGTTGCCGTTCCTTGGGTTTCTCCCCTCAAAAGTCGGAGCAACATGACACTGGATTCGCCGAGGAAGACGTGTGAGAGCATTCATGTGCGCGAACAGGGTTGTGTGGAGGGACGGCAGCGAGAAGTCTTTGAATTCAGTGCAACATTCATCTGAATCGCTCAGTTGATTTTAGCTTATGCCCCTCTTTGAAGGGTTATTCCTGCTTATTATATAAATGTTTTCATTAAATAATTGCATAGATCAAGTTGGATGTTGAGATGAAACCAGCTTGCCGGAAAAAAATGGTTTAACACGGCAGGAAACAACTCAAACAAACCCTCGAGTCTAAACTAAATCTAAAAAGACAGTAAACGAGAATTACTTCCCAAACACTGATCAGCCATCAGCTCTCCAGTCTAACTGCGACCTGCTGTGCTTACTGTCCATGTGTGCAGCGTTTTCTCGTGAAATGAGCGACTACCACTGACTTTTAATTTGAAATCCGGTTGGCAATCATAACATTTTACTCTCCAAGTACATTTTTGAGATATGGAAAGACAATAATAGGTTTAAATTAGGGATGCACAATACTGGATTTCTGCTGATGTTTTCCATCTCATTTTGGCCAATTGCTGGTACTAATACATGCACATATTTTGCCCACCTAATTGCAGAGAACATTAAGTCTCCCCGGTAGTGGAATTAACATATTATTATGCCTACTCCTGTCATGATGGCTCACTGGCAGCTGCAGACATACAATACAATGCTTTTCAAAAAGTACCCACCGACTAGACAAAGGAAAAAAAAAACTTCTTCAACTTACTTGTGATACATGCCATATTTGGTTTTGTGTAACATTTTCAGAGAAACCTTTTGCCTGACAGCCGCTATCTGCCTGTCAGTGTTCATTTTGGGTCGATGCCCATGTTTTATTTTAAGGCCA